CAAGTTACATGCTCTCGATTGCTGCTATTAATTTTTTTTTGTTACTAAAGCCTTTGAATAGAGTCAGTGACAACAGTTAATGCTTCTTTAATTACTTTGCCATCTGTGATGGATTTCTTATGTTTTGCCAGAAGATAGCAAATGCAAAATGATACATCAGTGCAAGCCATGCCTTTTGTTGGTTCAGAAAAAAATGACCGTTAAGCTTTTGAAACAGCCTGAAAGCCTCAATTTTCTTTGTCTGAAGCATGTTCTTCAAGGAAAAACTATTGTTGTGCGTTATCATCCTAAACTCCCCGTTGTACTTAGCAACATACTTTGGTGACATACAAGGCAGACACTTTTACCTTTTACATTGTGACTGCAAATTCGTTTTTTTATTCCTCGTGGAAAACATTTTTGGTTTCTTTTTAGATGGTCAGGGTTCATGAAGTACTGTTCTGAGGAAGGGTCACCAGGCCCGAAACATTAACTCTGATTATTTTCTTCACAGATGCTTTTCCAGCAACTTTTTTTTTTGTTCATCAATTACTGCTTCACTTTCTAGTTCACAATGTCACTACCACTGGTGTCGCTGTGTGTAAACTTCTAGATGTGTGCCTCTGGAACATCCAAAATGTTGCTGGCTGCTTTCAAGTGTGGAGGCATGGAACATCATTTACATTACTGCATTTTGTTTTCAGGGACACTTGTCAGTTTGCATTACTAGGATGTAGTGCACTGCAGCATTGCCCATAATTTTTCTTTGTTCTGTATGAACCGGTCAGATAAGCAGCTGAAGGAAAAAAAAACAGGCTACAGAGAACAGGGACAGGAACAGAACTAGCTATGCGGTTCTTGCAAAGAGTCCACATGGAGATGATGGACTGAATAGTCTTGTATGTTTCCAGTACTGTAACGTATTTACTTCACACGTCAGTTCCTAATATATTTCTTGCTGTCACAAAGTTGCTTCACCCTGCAACAATTGTCCACCTGGACCAAAAAAAAACACAATGCAACAAGCTGGCAAAGCCTACTTTTCTCTTTCCGCATTGCTTCCAGAAGCAGAACTCATGCAGTGGCATGCCAATCAACATGCTTGTTTGTGAGATAATGTTGGTGGCTGATGGGATTGACTGCTAAATCCCACAGTTAACCAGTCAATCATGACGTATGTGTTGTAGACCACAGCTCTGCAACGCATTCTTAAGGATATGGAGTAGGTCATTCAGGACCAAGAGGAGGAGAAATTTCTTTAGAGTGATCAGCCTGTGGAATTCTCTGCCACTGAACGTGGTTAAGGCCAAAAACATTGAAAGTTTTCAAGAGCAAGATAGATATAGTTCTTAGGGCTAAGGGGATCATAGGGTACGGGGAGAAAGCAGGAACAGGATACTAACTTGGATGATTAGATATGATCATATTGAATGGCTGCACAAGCTTGAAGGGATGAATGGCCTGCTCCGATTTTCTACGTTTCATGCTCCAGCACCATAGTATGTTCTTTAATCAGCATTATCAGTCCTCCTTTCCTTACCTTTCCTAAACAACTTGTACTCAAGAACCCTTAGTACCCAGTCCTGTCCATTCTTGGATTAGGTTTCAATTACTGCCACACATCATATTTTTACAAGGCTGCTTGTACCTACAGCTCACCAACATTTTTACCACACCCCATGAATTCACATACATGTATGCACACAGAGTAGATTTAATTTACATTTTACTGTTGAGAAGAATACACATTTCACACTCATCTGGACAATTCATAAAAATTACTAAAGTAAAAGGAAAACAACTCAGTATATGGAAGCACAGTGCCAATTTGTTGGCAAGTGGGCTCTGATTGGTAGATCATTACCAGTGAGAATACACAAATTAGTGATAACTGAAAGTTAGTATCAAGGTAAGATGACTCCGATTGGTCAGGGCATTGCCCAAAATAACGGAGTCCTCGATGTAGCAGCAGTAGTAGGCCATTGAACTCACTGTGTCTGCTCCACCAAAGATATTCGATTTGACTTCGCATCAAGCTCAGATGAGAGATCTTTTGTGATTTATGCCAGATGACACCAAATTCCTCTGTGCTTCAGTTTTCTGCAGTCTTTCTCTATTTAAATAATATTCCGCTCCTCTATTCTTCCTGATTAAGTGCATAACTTCACAATTCACCACATTATATTCCATCTGTCAAGTTTTTGCTAACTCACTTAACTGGCCTACATGCGTCTGTGCGCTGTCAGCCTCACCACTTGGCTCACCTGATCTTATCATCCACGAACTTGGTAAATGCATATTTATTTCCTCATTCAAGGTATTAATTGATATATTGTAAATTTTGTGGCCCTTGCACTGATCCCTATGACACCTCACTAGTTACAGGTTTTCAACTGAAATGCCCCCTCTTTATCCCAAACTTCTATTTGTTAGCCAGTCCTCTGCCCATTCCAAAATACCATGCACAACAGCACAGGATCTTACTTCATTAAGCAGCCTTAATGTGGTACCTTATCAAAAGTTCTTAAGAAATCCAAATATAATGAATCTATTGGTTCTTCTTTATCTATCCTGCTGAATAACTTCTTAAATAATTCTAATAAATTTATCAAGCATGATTTGATCTTCATGAAATCATGTGGGCTCTACGTGATTACATTGTTTGTTTCTAGATGCTCCGCTATTAATCTTTTATAATCGACTCTATAATTTTTTTCAATACTAGTTGTTAAGCCAATTAGCCTACAGTTACCTGCTCTTCTGTCTCCTCTTTTTGAATTATTATATTGGCAGTTTTCCAGAATCAAAGTATTCTTGTAAGGTTACTTACAGTATATCCACCATCTATGTAGATACTTACTTTAATAATTGAGCATGCTAGCGATCAGGGGACTTATTGGCCTTTAGCCCCATTAGTTTCCTATCGTTTTTGTCTAGTAATTATTTCATTTTCTCCCCCACCCCACCAGACATACCTTTTTACCTACTGACTACTTGGTACTACCATTCTAGAAATACTCTGACCTGAGTCAAACTTTCTTGTTTAAAATTTAAACAAAGCTTTGCTGTTAACCATCAGTCATCAATTTGTGCATTCTGTGTAGCAACACCTCTACCATAGACCACTTGCCAATCAATCAGGACTCTCCTCTCATACAGTAAAAATGTTGCTTTCTCTTTACTTTGATATATCTTGCAATTTGTCCTGATGAACGCAAGATGAAAAGCTTTGACAAAATGTGTCTTTTATCAAAAACACTATTTCTTTACTGCCAAACAACTATTAGATTTTATTGCACTCCCTCTTAGTCTGACCCCACTTAATGTCTTACTCCTTTTTTGAAGTCTACCGCTATTTATCTCTCCTAATCCTTTCTACACCTTATTTTTTTCTTTCCAGTGTTACATCCTATTTTGCATCCTGCTCAGCAAGTTTCAACTCTCCTGAATAACACCAATCACCCCACAAGGATGCACAGGACTTAACTGCTCCAGAACCAGTTCAAAAACCCTCCCCCTTGCATCATCTCTAGCCATTAACTAAACTGCTCTAACACTAACTTTGAGGTCCTGTGTTCCTGGTCTCCTTGCTAACTCCACAAGATTGCATGGACCACGTCTCTTTCTTTTCGTATTACTGGTCATGCTTTAGGCAGCAGCTATCATCTGTCAATTCTGTGCTTCAGAAGAGTCTGAAGGCATCCTTAATTCTTTATATGTTTAGACAATTGGGCAGTTGAGAGATTTGTTTTTTTTAAAAAACACAACTGAAGAACTTATTTCAGATCACAAACAAAAAAGACATGGATACCTGTATTATCAAAAATTACTAAAATTAATAAAACAAGAGCAAAGTCACACATTGCCGTGACTTCTTCTGCTGCTTTGATACAACTTAAGCACATACCACCTTTCTCATCTGATTTGGAGGAGGCTCAGATCAAGCACGCTCGGGGAGCCTCTGCCTCAGCATGATCCGTCTATTGCTAAGTATTAGTTCAATAACACTCTGCTTAGGGGGATTTTCTATACAGGCAATTCCCACTTATCATCGCTTCCTCTTCCAGGTGTCCTGTCTGGGCCCGGAATGCCATTACACAGCACCATGCAGCAGAGACTTTTCCTTCTACACAGGGGTAGAGGCAAGCACATAAGTTAGGAATAGGAGTAGGCCATTTGGCCCTTCAAGCCTGTTCCTCCATTTAATAACATTTGTGGCTGATCCAGTTGTTGCCTCAACTCCAATTCCAACCTACCCCAGATAATCTTGAGTCCCTGTTAGTCAAGGATATATTTCTACCTTAAAAAATATTCAATGACTCTGCCTCCAGTACTCTTTGGAAGAATTTCTCATTTCCTTCTTAAATGGGAACTCCTTATTTTTAAAGCAGTGTGTCTTAGTTCCAGTCCCTCCCATAAAAGGATAAATATTCCACGATGCTCACTTTGTTTAATCCCCGCAGGATCTTATACATTTCGAAAAGATCACATCTCATTCTTCTAAATTCCAGTGAAATATATGTTTAACATGTTCAAACGTTCCTCAAACTAAAACTTCCCATCCCAGGTATTACTGGAGTGAACATTCTCTGAACTGCACCTAACATACCTAACGGTAGTGCTGTATTAAGTCGTGACGCTCAACATAATTTTAAGGGACTTCAATAATAGCCAAGCCACTTGCCATTTTGGTTTAACTATTGTCTTTAATCTGATGAGTAGTGCTTCCTTAATTTGAGGGAGCCTTCTGGAGTTGTCCATTATACACTAAGAAACAATCTATTAATTTACTTTTAAGAACGATCAAGGGAGAGTACAAGTACAAAAGATAGTCATGCTGGAAAGGATAGTAACTGAAAAGTGACAAATTTTAAAGTCATCACCATTCAAAATTTCAATGCATTTTACTTACAATGAAGGTATTTTTGATTTATAGCAAGTGCAAAACACTAAAACAGTAGTGAATTCAAATAGGTAAGTGAGTTGTGCGTTTCTGGTAAAAGTTTATTTGTTTTACATACCTTATCAAAGATTTCTCGGACATTGGCCTCAGATTCTCCAAACCACATGGTAAGAAGCTCGGGTCCCTTGATTGAAATAAAATTAGCCTGGCATTCATTTGCAATGGCTTTTGCCAGCAAAGTTTTACCACAGCCAGGCGGCCCATAGAATAGTACACCCTTTGAAGGCGTCATGCCAAATTTCAGGAATTTGTCTGGATGTTCCACAGGATACTGTTAAAAACAAATTTGCATTACATTATGTTTCAAATAGTTGTTCGTGAAATAGGCAAAATCAGGTAAAATATAAAAGCAACTACGGCCCTGGAGAAAATAATTTAGTACACAGGCTCAATTAAAAATGAATTTGATGATTTAATAAGACTCAACACATGAGAAAGATACTATCTAGCATGACAGTAAACCAAAAAGATTAGGTAGTGCCAGGGTCATTGCTAGTTTAAGCTAAATTAATTCATCTCAGTTGTGTCACTACAACTTGACACAGCAGGAAAGGGGAAGAAGAAAAATATCACCTGGATTCCTGCTCCAAATTGCAGTCCAATGATTTATGCTGAAAGATGTGTGCACACGTATGGACAACAAATATCCAAAATACAATGAGTGCCTGGACTTAAGACTAGGAAAGTCTGTTGGACTAATTAGCAGAAGGATATTGGGTCCTTATGAATCTAGATTCCAGCAAGATTGTGTATTGTTAGAGGTGTAGACAAAAGGAAGGTAAAAATAATCAATTTGCATCACCAATATTAATGAAGTCTAGTCTGAACTTTCAATATTATAAATTACTGATTTGGTAGAATATGATTTTAGAGTTACAAAATTATGCCATCTCTATTGCAGATTAGTAAATTTAGCACACAATTCAAAGACCTAAAAACAGCTTACTTGTACAAGTTCTTGAAGTTCCCTCTTCACATCCTCCAGTCCACCAATGTCGTCCCACGTTACCTGAGGCACCTCAACCACAGTCTCACGCAGTGCTGATGGATTGCTCTGGCTCAATGCCCACTATAAATAAACAAACAAACAACGTATCAACTTGCATTGTATAAATATTTTGAGTTAGTTCAAATACAAAAATGGCTATCCAACTTCATTAGGAGAGCCCTACCCTGAAATCATCCATGGTAACTGCAAGTGAATTCATGACTTCAGCATCAATGGTTTCATCTTCCAAATCAATAACATCCATCTTTTTCCTAATAGCCTGAAGAGCAGCTTCAGAACATAAGGCAGCCAGGTCAGCACCAACATGCCCATGAGTTTCATTAGCAACCTGAAAGAAAAAAAAAATGTTTATATACTAAAACCTATGCACTTCAGCTTACACTTCAAGGTTTTAATAACCTTCCACCTGAAGAGAACATAAGAAAAGAAGCCGGCAATTTAGCCCATTGAGCCAGTTCTAGCACTCAATTAGATCATGATGGATTATCTAATCAACACCACTTCAACCACACTTCCTACGTAACCCATGAGGTCAGTAGTATCCAGAAGTCCATTAATTTCTGTCTTGAACATGTTCAACCATGGGAAGGCAATTGCCTAGTAGTATTATCGCTAAACTATTAATCCAGAAACTCAGCTAATGTGCTGGGTACCTGGTTTGAATCCTGCCACAGCAGGCGGTGGCATTTGAATTCAGTAATTTTTTTTTAAAAAAAGTCTGGAATTAAGAATCTACTGATGACCATGAAATCATTGTCGAGTATCAGAAAAACCCACCTAAGTTCACTGATGTCATTCAGGGAAGAAAATCTGCCATGGTCTGGTCTACATGTGAATCCAGACCTACAGCAATGTATATGACTCTCAATTGCCCTCTAAAATGGCCGAGCAAGTCATCAAGTTATATCAACTGCTGCAAAGTCTCAAAGAAATGAAACAAGATGAATCACCTGGCATCAGAAAATACAACAGCAGTAAAAGTCCTGTCGACTCTGCAAAGTGCTCCTTACTAACATATGGGGGCTACTGCCAAAATTGGGAGAGCTGTCTCACAGACTAGTCAAGCAACAGCCTGACACAGCCACACAAAATCATACCTTAGACAACATACTAGACACCACCATCATCATCATCCCTGGATATGTCCTGTCTCACCAGAACTGACCGAGCAGAGGTGGTGGTATACAAATCAGGAGGGAATTGCCCTGGGAGTCCTCAGCATAGGCTCCAGAGGCTATGAAGTTTTATGGCTTCAGGTTAAACATTGACAAGGAAACCTCCTACTCATTACCACATACTGTCCTCCCTCAGCTGATGAAACAGTCCTCCTCCATGTTGGTGGCAAGGGCACAAAATGTACTCTGGGTGGGGGGTTTAAATGTCAACCACCAAGAGTGGTACTACAACAGTACTATCGATCGAGCTGGTCAGGTCCAAAAGGACACAGCTGCTAGGCCGGGTCTGTTTAAGGTAGTGAGGGAACGAACGAGAAGGAAAAACATACTTGATCGTATCCTTACCAATCTGCCAGTTACAGATGCACCTTTCCATCACTGCATCGGTAAGAGCAACCACCACACAGTCCTTGTGGAGATGAAGTCCCTCCTTCACATGGAGAATAACATCCATCGTGTTGGGTGGGCACTATCACCGTGCTAAATGGGATTGACTTCGAACAGATCTAGCAACTCAAGACTGGGCATCCATGAGGCACTGTGGGCCATCAACAGCAGAACTGCACTCCAGCACAATCTGTAACCTCATGGCCCAGCATATCCCCACTTGACCAGGGGATCAACCTTGGTTCAATAGAGAGTGCAGGAGGGCATGCCAGGAGCAGCTGAAACATACTTGAAAATGAGGCATCAACCTAGTGAAACCACCAAACAGGACTACTTGCATGCCAAACAGCACAAGCAGCAAGTGATAGGCAGAGCTAAACAATCCCACAACCAATTGATCAGATCTAAGCTCTGCAGTCCTGTCACATCCAGTCATGAATAATGGTGGACAATTAAACAACCCACTGGAGGAGGCAGCTCTACAAATATCCCCATCCTCAATGATGGAAGAACCCAACACAGTGCAAAAAGATAAGGCTGAAGCTTTTGCAGCAATCTTCAGCAAGCTTAACATTTGTGATGGGTAAGTTAATTGAGAAGATTCTGAGGGATAAGATATACATGCATTTGGAAAGACAGGGTCTGATTAGGAGTAGTCAGCAATCCTTTGTGCGTGGGAGATCATGCCTTACAAATTTGTTAAAGTTCTTTGATGAAGTGACCAGGAAGGTTGATGAGGGCAGGGCAATAGACGTAGTCTATATGGATTTCAGTAAGGCCTTTGATAAGGTTCCACATGGTAGGCTACTCTGGAAGGTTAGATCACATGGAATCCAGGGAGAGCTAGCAAATTGGACACACAATTGGCTTGACAGTAGGAAGCAGAGGGTAATAACGGAAGGATGCTCGTCTAACTGGAGGCCTGTGACTAGTAGTGTGTCTCAAAGGTCGGTGGTGGACCCATTGCTGTTTGTTATCTATACTGATGATTTGGATGACAATAATAAAATACGCGGTATCGTGGACAGTAAAGAATATCATCAGGAATTGCAGCAGCATCTTGACCAGCTGGGGAGGTGGTCCGAGAAATGGTAAGTGGAGTTTAACATGGATAAGTGTTGCATTTTGGAAAGTCAAATCAAAGGTAGCAGTTTCATGGTGAATGGTAGGGTCTTGAGTGTAGTGGAACAGAGGGACCTTGGAGTTCAGGTGCACAGTTCTCTGAAAGTGGAGTCACAGGTAGGCAGGGCAATGAAGGCGGTTCTTGACACAATGGCCTTCATCAGTCAGGATATAAAGTATAGAAGTTGGGAAGTTATGATGCAATTGTACATGTTGGTGAGGCTGCACTTGGAGTACTGTGTTCAGTCTTGGTCACCTTGCTATAGGAAAGATGCTATTAGACTGGAAAGAGTGCAGAAGAAATTTACAAGGATGTTGCCAGGACTCAAGGGACTGAGTTAAAGGGAGAGGTTGAACAAGCTAGGACATTTTTTCTTTAGAATGTAGGAAACTGACGGGGGATCTGATAGAAGCGTATGATATCATGAAATGCATGGATAGGGTGAATGCACTCAGTCTTTTTCCCAGGGTTGGGGAATCGAGTACTAGAGGGCATCAGTTTAAGCTAAGAGGGGAAAGAATACATGGGAACCTGAGGGGCAACATTTTTTTAAAACACAGAAGGTAGTATGCATGTGGAATGAGCTGCCAGCGGAAGTGGTCGAGGCCGGTACATTAACAACATTTAAAAGGCATTTGGACAAATACATAGATAGGAAAGGTTTAGACGGATAAGGGCAGAAATTCACCAAAGATCCTCAGACAGCACCATCCAAACCCATAACCACTTCCATCTAGAAGGATGAGTGCAGCACATACATGGAAACACCACCACCTCCAAGTTCTCCTCCAAGCCACTCATCATGTTGACTTAGAAATATATCATCGTTCCTTTACAGTCACTGGGTCAAAATCCTGGAATTCCCTCCCTCACAGCATTGTTGGTCGATCCACAGCAGGTAGAGTGCAGTAACTCAAGGCGGCAGCTCACCACCACCTTCTCAACGGCAGTTAGGGACGGGCAATAAATGCTGGTCAGCCAGCAACGCCCATATCCCAAAAATGAATTAAAAATAAATTACTGACCTCCCGTAGCCCTCTACAGCAGAGAATTCCAAAGGTTCAGTACCCTGAGAGTGAAGAAATTCCTCTTCAGCCAATTCTCAAATAGCCTGCCTCTTTTTCTAAGACTCTTTCTCGAGATCACCCAGTTCTGGACTCACCAGCCAGGGATGTAATGTCCCATTTACATTCACCTTGTCACACCAAGTTTCAATGAGATCACCTCTTATATTCTATGGAGTTAGAAGAATGTGCCCATTTTCCTCAATCCTCGGGTCAAGTCTGTTGAACCTCCATCTGTATACGATTGCTTACAATCATAATTTTTGGTCACCATTTCCTAAAGACTCCTTGTACAGCAAGGTTATTAATCAGCCTTTGCACATTATACTTCATTAAATCTAAAATAGCACAATTCCCTAGTTAATTCTTCAAAACACTGCTCCAGAAACACATCTTGTACACAGTTCAAGAATTCATTCTCCATAGCATAATTAGTGTTGATTAGGCTTACCCAGTCTATCTGTAAATAGAAGTCACCACCTATTATTATATGACCTATGCTAATTACATCCACATGCACTTCTAGTTTCTCGATTTACATCATGTCCACATTACCACTATCGCTTGGCGGCCTGTAAACATTTACCAGCAATATTGGCTGTCGCTTGCTGTTTAACTTCACACAAAACTGATTCTAGACATCAATGGCATCTCTTAAGGGTGTTACACCATTTCTATTTTTTTCCTATTCTTCCCAGATGACCATTATCCTTGAATATTCAAATCTCAATCTTAGTCACCCAACAAAAAAAATGCATATCTTACCTTAGCTTCAAACATGTTACAAATAAATTTTGAAGTTATGAAGTACGATATATAGCTACTGCATAAGAGGGATGAGATGTTTTAATCATAAGAGAATTAAAAAACTGGGGTTACTTTCATGGGAACTAAAGGAATGAAGAGTTTAAAAATTTTTTTAAAAGTGATAGAAGCAAAACCAGATGTATGCAGAAAGTGGTTAATGAGCTACAATCAGAAAACCAAAACAACAGGGCACTTAAGAATCAACCACATTGCTGTGGATTTGAAGTCACACACAAGCTACACCAGGTAAGGACAGCAGTTTCTTTCTCTAAAAGGGCAGTAGTAAAGCAGACGGGTTTTCCCAACAATCAACAAATGGTTTTGTGGTCATCATTAGACTCCTAATCCCAGATTCATACTGAATTCAAATTCCACCATCTGCCACGGCAGGACATGAACCTGTGTCCCCAGAACATTACAGGGATTACAGGATTTATTGTCTAGCGATAATACTACCAGGCCATTGCCATTCACAAGGAACCAAAAACTTTGCTGTGACTGCAGAAATAGAATCTAAATATTAAACTACTTCTAGTTTCTCATTATGCTACATTGTAGAAATTTGAACAATGAAAGCAGTTACTACATTTCTGAGTGCCTAATAATGACATTTCTTTTTAGACAATAACAAACCT